TCGACTTTCTTCCCGAAACACCGCGAGCAAAAACACCAAACCAGCCCCCCCCCCCCCCCCCGATCACCAGATTGCCTGTGGGGGACCCCAACTCCAGTCCGTAGAACTGATTGCAGAGCAGGGCACATGCCCCGCCTGACTAAAGTGGCACCAGTCACCCATGCCAACATTGATGCTGCTGTTCCCTGGGGCATGAGATGGGAGCAGCCATCCAACAGCCAGAGCAGCTGCTAACAGTGCCCTGGAAGTGGTTGCGGTCCAAGCCCCGGCTAGGAACAGCATTGCCCATGCATGCCCCACCCCTTCAGGCTCAGACAGAGGGGGAGTGCAACCAGCCCAGTTGAAACCATCCTGCCCCCACTGGTGTCTACTGGCTCAGAGCTTCTGTGACATTCCCTGCAGTGTGGTGCCCTATATGGGAGCAGGAGAATTTAAGCCACTCCTAGGTTCACCTGTGACATGTCTTAACCCTCCCACTAGGACTGCGAGCACTGGCTCGGAGAAGCTTATGCACCTCTGATCCTTTTACTCCATCTCTGCCCTGCTTGCTGCCAGACCTTAGACTAAAGCAACTAAATGCCTCCCTCTGCTCAGGAAGGAAAGGGCAAGGCAAGTGTCCTCAGGGAGGAGGTGCCCAGTGATCTTGACCAGAGAAAGAGAAATTGGCCACAGGATAAGACAGTGAAGTGCAGTGTCATATACTTCACTTTGCAGTCCTGTTTTATGTAAAAACTTAGGCCGTTTAGAGGCTCTACCAGAGAGGAAGCGGCCTGGCTCCAAGAGGAGGTGATTCTATTGGTCAACCTGAGAAGTTTTTTCTCAAAAAAAAAAAAAAAGACCATACAAAATCTTACATGAGTTTAGACAGCTGTTTCAGAGCTCTTTGGATTGATAATTTTAGTCAGAGGCTTGCTAAAAAAAGGCTTTTATTCCGCTCAAATATGTTGGTAGAGGCAAAGGTAAAACTGGCACTATGAGCCATGTAAATAAAAGTAGCCTCCCATTATAAGTTTGCCAACCTTCCTCTCACCCACTTCCCTTTCTCAGAAAAAAAAAAAGTGACTCCTGAAAGTGTGCACACATTACATCCTGATTTAGAGGTTTCCTCAGGGATCTCTCCTGACTAACGTGCCTCTCCCATGCCATATTTGGTTCAGTTTGTTGACCTTTGTTGGGGCCTCAGCAGGGAGAGGGAAAAAAATTAGGTTGGAGTGAATGCTTGTTTAAAGTAGTAGATTTAATCACTATTCTTTGTTTAAGAATCTGGAAAGTAGGCGCGTCTGCCCAAAACAAACAAATGCAAAGCTTTGCAGCTGTTCAAGTACTCTAGACAGAAAGCCTTTGGCTGGGTGTTACCCGAGAAGGGCAAATACAAGTGGGTGAAAGAAAATATGCAAGTGGAGGACTAAGAGAGCATACAGAAAGAGGGCCATGTTACAGGTTATCTTTAAACCATCTTAAAGGCACTTAAAACAAGAGTATTCACCTGTTAAAGGGTCTTAACCTTGTGGTGGGCCAGTAGCGAGCGCCCCTGCACTGAGCCATCCACCTCACTGCACCCGACCACCTACTGAGCTCCGAGCATCTCCCCAAGGCCACCAATTTCTGGCCAGCCCCCTTCCTAGAGCACACCCGCAAGACTGGGGTAACCGCAGCCACCACCTGGGGTCTGATTGTTGCTCAGGCCCTGTGCCCCCTGGGGTACACAGGCCTTGTAGACTTTGAAAGCGCTTGACCCACTATGAAATCTTGGCATGCTTCCTTTAACCTGAAGCACAGGAAGTAGCCTCCCTTAGTCAGCTGAGCAAAGGGAATGCAAAGATGTGCCCATTCCCTCTCAAACACGTACCACAAAGCTTTTTATAGCAGACAGCTTTATAGGGTAGAGAGGGCAGGCTTGGGGAAGAGTATGAGTTAGAGAAGTGTCAAAAGAATACCCAGAGCAAACAGAGCTGGCCTGATAGCCATTTCAAACACTTCTAAATGAGTATACGCTACCTTTCTACTTAGGTTTCTGGTAATTTACTCACTTCAGCATCCCAGAATTGAGTGAGGTTTGCAGAGGTTTAAGCCACTGCGTAAAAGTCCCAACATGACTCTCCTTCTCCCTGGAGAACCTCTCTCTTAAATAGCGCCCCACCCCCTGACCTCACCTGCTCAAACCAATCAAGGCCAGGTGTTGTTTTATGCCAACCAGCTATTTTGAAAAGCATCACAGCTTAACCAGGACTCAAGCCACTGCCCCCATGCCATGAGAGGTTACCAGATTTGCCCATTGCTTTAGGGTGTGCTCATTTATTAGGGGTACATTTCTAGGGTATTAATGTGCTGCTTGTGTTACTATATGGAGCTGTATCTCTCCCTTCTACAAATCTTCACCCCCAATGGGCATGTCCAGACGAGCACACATGTGCCTCTTGCCCCGTCTCAAACCCCTTTGAGTTGGGGCAAGAGGCACGTGTGGGAACAAAAAAATGTTCCCCACACTGCAGGTTTGCAGCGTGCGAAGAAAATTAGACCCCTGGATATCCAGGGGTCTAAAAAAACCCACTCCGCACAACAGCGGAGCAAAGCACGGTCCCACTGTGCCAGGAGATCAGTCCTCAAAAACAGATGCTCTGGTGTCAGCCAAAGCATCCCTGAGCAGGTCGCAAGGCACCAGAAGGCACGCACAGGATCCACGCCTCCCAGAGCCCTGTGACCCACTCCAGTGCAAAGCCAGACTAGTGAGCCACAAGGGGCTAGCCCAGGTCCTGCCACGCGCCACTCCCCAACAGGCACAGCAGGGCAGAGGCAGAACCTGGCACAGCATGCAGAGACTGCACGCCCCAACCCAGCTGGGTCCTGCTGGCCTTGGGGCCCCTCTGCCACCCAACCACACTGGGCCCTTGCTGGCAGGACCCAGTGCGGCACATGGAGACTGCGTGCCGGGCCCAGCCACCTTTGGGGCCCCTCTGCCACCTGGCTGGGCCATTCCGATAGCGGCAGAACTTGCCATGGTGTGCAGGGCCCACATGCTGGGCCCACTGGGTCCTGCCACCTGGCCAGGTGGCAGGAGCAGCCCCAGGGCCAGCAGGACCCATCTGGGTGTGGTGTGCGGTCCCCACGCACCGCATTGGGTCCTGCTGCCATGGGCCCGGCCCAGCCAGGCAGCAAAGAGGCCCCAAGGCCGGCAGGACCC